GTGGCTAACGATAATAAACCGTGGCTAACGATGGTAAACCGTGGCTAACGATGGTAAACGGTGGCTAACGATGGTAAACCGTGGCTAACGATGATAAACCGTGGCTAACGATGACAAACTGTGGCTAACGATGACAAACCGTGGCTAACGATGGTAAACCGTGGCTAACGATGGTAAACCGTGGCTAAAGATGGTAAACTGTGGCTAACGATGGTAACTGTGGCTAACAAGGAGATAAAAACTTCGGTCTTTAGTGAGGGTGAACGGCTGCTTGTTAAGCTCCATCATTTCCATCGTTAAATTGCTTCAGATCTGTGTCCTCTTTGGCTAATTTTTTTTTTTGTCCAAAGCCTCAGCAGTGATTTTAAGTCCTGATRAGTTCTTGAACGCTAGCTTGTTGTTGTTAGCATTTTTAGCAGGCCAACTCTGTGCTGCATTCAGGAGGTAACGGACATTACATATTCTCAAATTGGGAGTAGTTATTGCGATGTTTTTATAATTATAAAGTTTGTGTGTAACACACACGGTTAATTGGTAAAATAATATAATTATTAAAAAGACTGGTTGTTTTTCAGCACAGAGTATTCTAAWTATTGTTCTAGTGAGAAAGTTGTTTTTTCCAACGCCACTTGAACGTTGCATGGGTCGGGCAGGACATGGAGCGGCTTCACCAAAAAGGATAAAAATAAAAAAGCACACTTGCTGCCACACTGGAAAATACGTACATATATTACTGGTTCTGTTTGTTATGATATCGCACCGATAAGTATGACATMATAAYCTCCTGATATTGGACYGATMGTTATTGTGCACTCYGACTTTTAGTGATCTCAGTAACTTCTAGGTCTACAAAGATCTTTCTAAAGTCTGAGTCCGGTCTGCTCATCAGAACTTTTCTCTTTGTTTTTTCTCCACTCAGGACTCCAGCAGGGTCCGGTCCACCAGACGAAGCTGATGGTTGTAAACCAGGAGACTTCCAGTATATGCCAGAAGGAACCAGAACCCCCACAGACCACTGTAGAGGAACCAGAACTAGAACCTCTGGAGATCACTGTGGAGCAGCAAGAACCAGAACCTCTGGAGATCACCATGGAGCAGCAAGAACCTGAACCCCTGGAGATCACTGTGGAGCAGGTGAAACCAGAACCTCCGCACATCGACGTAGACGAGGAGGATCCAGAATCCCCGCACCTCATCTTGGATCAGGGAGAACCAGAACCTTCGGAGTTCAGCGTGAACCAGCCGGCGCCGGAGCCGTTCCAGATCAAAGTGGAGGAGGAGGAGCTCTGCTCCAGCCAGGTGAACCAGCACCTGCAGCTGAAGCACGAGGCCGACGCCATCATGGTGACGGTCCTGCCCGAGGACAGCGACCGCAGCGACTCGGACACGGACAGCGACGACTCGCTGTCGTCCAGCTCCACCGGGTCCGACTCGTCCGGGAGCTTCTTCTCCTGCCTGATCTGCGGGGAGACCTTCACGGAGAACGCGCACCTGTTGGTGCACATGAGGGTCCACACGGTCCGGAGCCCCACCTCCGACAAACTGCAGCACTGCTGCCCCATCTGCGACAAGCGCTACACCACCCGGGACAGCCTGGTCATCCACATCAGGAGCCACACCGGAGAGAGGCCCTTCTCCTGCCGCTTCTGCGGGAAACGCTTCAGTCGCAACGGCAACTGCAAGATGCACATGAGGATCCACACGGGAGAGCGACCGTACTCCTGCGAGGTCTGCGGGAAAAGCTTCACTCTCAACTCGTACCTGAAAACTCACATGAAAATCCACACGGGCTGAGCAGAACCAGGACGGGTTTACTTAGTGAAGTCTTGACTTGATACAGCAGCCTCAACATCAGCTGCACGATGGACGAGACCGGAACCATCAGAACCTAAAGGATCGCCCGCCTTTTCCTGCAGATTTCACACTCTGCTCACAATGACTCTTAGTTCTTAATCAAATATTAGCTCAACATCTGTATTACTCACGTAGTCGTAGCAATGTTTTGTTTTCACAGTCCATTGACTGGCGGCCATCTTGATTTGGGTGCAGAAGTTAATCTGTCGTAGACGTTCATCCAGTGATTATTTTCTGAACGTTAAATAAAATCAGTCGGGTAGTTTAGTAGACGTTTGGGYGCGAGGAGAAACATCTTCACTTCCTGTTTTATTTAAACACCGACAGACACCTGCAGGTTCTGCTGCGCTTTATTTCTAACTGCTCAACAAATCCTCAACTTATTATATTGTACTTTTTTTATAACGTGTGTCACTGTTTGTAAACGTTTCAAATAAATGGCTAAAACTAGCATTTTTATTCATATTTTCATTATTATTCAGACTTCAGAGTTTTATTTTCTAGATGTTTTTGTGCTTTAGCAACAGTTTTTTCATCTAAATGTTCGGCTCCTTCAGCACCTTCCAGCTTTGACTTTAAGTTTTTTTTTTTTTTTAGCTGTTTATAATTTGGACAAACTTCGCTTTTAATGCTTTTTTTCATTGAACATGAACAGAGCTGTTTCCAACTTAAAACCTTAAAAATGTTCATAAGTCTAAATTATTTTATTAGTTTTTCTGGTTCTGCTTTTTTAACTTCTTTCTCCTTATTTTAGCTTCCTTTTTTGCTGATTTTAGCTTTTTCTTTCTGCTTTTCTAGCTTTCATTCTGACCTTTTCTGCTAATTTCAACTTGTCAGTTATTTTTTCTGCTCTTTCAGCTGTATTTCTGCTCATGTCTGCGTTGTTCAGCTGTTCTCGGCCTCTTGAAGCTTGTGTTCTCACAGTTTGGGTTTTTCAGCTAGATTTAAGATCCACCTCAGCTGTGTAAATTCAACGAGCAATAATAGTTCAGTGTTTAAAAATACTTCAGCTTTGTCAGCAGCTTTCAGCTAAATTCAGCGTTTTCACAGGAAATGCCTTTTTGGCACTTCTTCATACGYTGTCTCTACAACTCAAACTGGATCAAAACGTTCGGCTCCTTCAGGACATCACGCCTGTGTCTCTTGTTATTTCAACTATTCAGACTTTTTTTAATCACATTTAATAACTGGGTGTATATCATTAATCCATATAGATTTTTTGTTTTTAATTATGTATGATCCATGGACTTAGGTTTTTCAAGCTAAATTCACATTTTGCTACCCATTTCAGCTTTTTCTGCTTAATTCAGCAGACAAGCTTCTTTTTTAAGCTAATTGTAGCAKTTTCAACTTGATTTTAGCTGTTTTACTTCCCATTTTACAACAAATTGTCTTTATTTTCAACTTGTTTCTGCTACCTTTAGCTTCTTTCTAATAAAACAATTCAGCTGAAAAAGAAACTAACATTTAAAAACAACTTTTCCAGTTTATCTTCTCAGGTGTTTGCCTTACGCATTTATGTTAATGACTTTAATCAGTGTGCATTACCAATGCAGTGCACACTATTGTGATTCGTTTCCCATCCAAGTCATCTCAACTTTGCCTTGCTTCTCCTCCTGTATACTTTGTCCTAGAGCTGCCATTGTAATTTATATCTTTAAAGCCCCTGTGCCAAATGATGGCTATGCCTTTTGGTGCCTGTAAAACTTATAGTTTTTGAAATATTAATG